AGGAGGCAGACGGCGGAGGAGAGGGAGGCGGAGCGGCAGCAGGCCAGCAGGCTCATGCTCCAGCTGCAGCACGACGCTTTCCAGAAGTCCTTGAACGACTCGATCCAGCCCGACCCGCTGTGTCTACACAACTCCTCGCTCTTCGCGCTGCAGAACCTCCAGCCCTGGGAAGAGGAGAACGCCAAGATCCCGCCCGTCACCTCGCTCGTGTAAACACTCTCGGGGGCGGGGGGTGGCCAGACCCAGGGCTCCTTCCCCACCTCGCCCTGCATGGCCGGAGCCGGGCACGAAGCAGAGCTGGGCGGACAGTTGCCTCCGGCGGTCCCTACAGAGCGTGGGCCGAGGCCAGCTTCGGACTCCCCCGCCGAACTGTTCCCGGGCCGCAGCCGCCCGCCTGCGGCAAACCGGGGCGCGCTGCGGGATGTCAGTGTGAACGCGCTTCTCCTGGAAGCCGGGAGTCCTGGACTGGTGAGACGGAAACTTGGACCACGGGCTCCGGGTGCCCCCGAATCTACAGCCCCAGGGAACTTGCGGAACTCCCCGAGGGAGTGTGTTTGCAGCTGGAACCGGCGCCTGGGCTTTGCAAAGCGGTTTGCGGGGGGCGGAGGCCGCTCCTGGAGGTGAAGGAAGACGGGATCTCATCTCTGCTGGCCAGTCTGGGCGACATGGGCTGGGGGAAATAAGCAGGAAGCGCGAGAAATTGCCAGAGGCATAAGGAAAGTCACTCCGGTTCTCCCCCGGGGTGTGTGTAAACGGCAGGTTATTCCGTGGCCGAGGAGAAAACAATCAGCCGAGTATTATCACACTGGAGAACTGGCCGCTTTAGCAGCTCCGTTTGTAAATTCATATCGCTCTCCCGTTAGGAAAAGGGGCCAGTCCCCTCGCTTTGGTAAGAAGTGTGAAACACTTCCATGTATGTATGCGCTGCGATCCCGGGCACGCTTAGTACCGACTGCTCCGCTAACCGGATCATGTATTGCAAACTGGGAAGCGAGGATTTCGGGTGGCCCTGGGGCAAAGGGCTCCTCCCCGCTGCGTGTAGGATAGTCCGACAGCTAGCCCGCTTAGCAGAGGGAGGGAACGGAACTGGGGAGGCGTTCGCTTTAGGAGACGCCCGGGGAAATCGGGCCGCGCAGGCCGCGCGAGGTCAATGTCAGCTGTAATTGACGCGCCCCAGTAAGAAGGGCTGCGCTCGGGCAAGGCGATTTTCACTTCGCCCTGCGCGCCTCCCGGCTTAGCCCCGCAAAGCAGCACTTGGCCGTTAGAGAAAGCGCCTTATGTTTCATAATGCAGAAGGTTTGGGGTTGGCACCGACCGTGTATCATACTTTGTACTTGCTGAGATCTGTAAATAAACGATTTCTTTAAAAAGGCCGCCTGCTGCGTGTGCGCTCCCCGCCCGCGACCGGGGAGGCAGGCCGGGGAGGGGCGGTGTGAATCCGGCTGCTCAGACCGGGGGAGGAAGGCAGGCGGGCGGGGGCCGGGAGC